ACTATTGACGGTACATCACTTCAATGAGTGCATGAACATTAAGACTTAGAGGTAATAGTAAGTCACAACTTGAAAATAATTATGCATTACAACGCAGTAGCTGCCAAAGGGTTTCATGCGTTAGGGTCACTCTGCTGAGCGTTCAAATATTTTGACGAGGTATTTCAAATTATTTATCTTACCTATGTAAGACTGTGGAAACAAATTTAGTGAACAGTCTTTCCAAACTCCCCACGTTGAGCTCTTACAACGCCTAAACCTTCTCCCCTTGTCGTATCGTAGGACGCAAGGTGACCTTACGTTGGTATTTCGTATCTTTAATTACGATTCAGGTATCGATATGTCCTACCTCTTTGCTCCCTCCAGCACTAATAATATACGAGGTCATAGCAAGACGTTTCACAAACTGTGATCTGATAAACATAAAGTAAGGTTCGGTTTTTTCCATCTAATGGTCAATAACTGGAACGACTTACCCGAACAAGTGGTATCACCAGCACCAGTAAACATTTTCCAGGAGAAGCTGGACCGTCGCTCGAATACAAAGTGTCAGGATTAACACAAGTCCACCAACCTACTATTCTTATTACTGAAGACAGAGACCATTAAGCTGATGGTATCTATCGAAAAAAAATTCGGATTAAAAGTCAAAAAGGACAGTGGTATTTTTTCTGTGAGTAATTTTTATAGTATTGTTCGTTAAATTACGCATCAACACTACTGTTTTACTCTAATTGAAATTTTTCAGTTAAAGAAATCCCAAAGAGTACCGCTTTTTGTCTAGTGAAGCTTATCATCTGTAGTTTACGAGTGCAGATACATAAAAACTAAAGCCCCTGGTACTTATTCTTCGTCGCTGAATATAGCGTTGAGCATTGTTTGTATCCATACGTGTTAAGATCTTTCTGTAACTACTGAAGTCCGGTTTTTCTATTAATTTTTTATTTTTATTTATATATAAACATAAATCAAATCTATGGCGTAATTGAAACGTCGTTGTAGTAGGCCAGCATACTGCCTCCCGGTCGATGTATGGATGCAATGTCTTAACTGCAATAAGTGGTATCACAGTGTTTGCACCGAACTCCCACCGGCTGCATATAAACGGTGCTGCAAGCCATTATTACGTTGGTTGTATAAAGAATGTTGTTCTACTAAGTCTCTGTTGATTCTAGAGGTGATCGAGCTGCTAAGCATAGCTAGGAAATTGCGCTCTGATAAACAGGCAGCAGCAGATGAACAGAACTCTTCTTTCAAGGAAATCGAGAGCGTTATTATGAGCCCAGCTCTAGACTTAAATGAAACCATAAAAGTAGACCTCATCAGAGAAGCACATAAGCATATGGATGTAGGCATTGTTACAAGGAGAAGAAGAAACGCGCAAAGAAGAAAAAACTACCTATAGACATTACTGAACCATGTGAATCTGCGGGTTCAGTTCCGGATTCACATATCAACGTAACACAAAGCATAGGGGAGTCAAACCTGAGCTGTGTAGAGGAAGTGATCAAGAGACGAAATAAGGCAAATGAGTGGCTCACAGTCACGTTAGGAAAAGAAAAGTAAGAAAACAGGATGTTATCTCTGCGCTTGACGCTGAATTGAAATTGGATTGCAAGTAAGAGACGGTTTCAAGAAATAAAATTCTACAGCGTGTCAAGACAGACCTCGCTGATAGGTCAGTTATCTTTCACAAGTTAAGAGAATCTTCCGATAAGGAACCAAAGGCTAGATTTGACCACGACCTCAGTCATATTAATTCCTTAATAGACAAACCACTCCCAGAAACAGTTTCGGGAGTTAGCATCTGTAAGGTTTATAGATTAGGACAAAAGATGGATTCTGAAAGTACTCAGATAAGCCGCCTCTTGAAGGTTACCTTTGCTAAAGTTGAAGAAAAAAACATGATACTAGGTAACTCTCGTAAACTGATTAGACCCGGAATATATATCCGTGAGGACCTCAGCCTAGCTGATCGTATTAAGAGATGAGCTGCAGAAGTGGAAATAAATGTGCAGTAAACTTCGTTTTTAAGCGTTTTCGAATTGTAAAAGTTTTGAGAAAACGATCCCCAAACCACTCTGGGTGGCAAGGGAAAGTGCTCCACAGATTTAAAGGTGTGCTCGCAGCCTAATAAATAAAATGGCTTAGCTCAAGACAGTGGTGGATATAGAAAAACCGGACGCTATTGGTGTCTCAGAAACACGAGTAACTTCAGAAGTATTAGATAAAGAAATTCAGTTGACTGGTTTTTTATTCGGTATGGCTGATAGATTAACCCGTTGGGGAGGCGAGGTTATACTGTAAACAAAAAGTACCCTAACCATACGAGCAGTTGAGATAGTGGCACATGATTTAGGGACATGTGAACTGGTGCGATCCAAGCTGGAATGTAGGCGGCAAGATACTGAATTAGTTGTAACATATCGCAGTCCAGAATGTGTGGTAGATGATTTTCTTAAGTCCTGGTGTAATAAGGGTGAAAGCTTTATAGTAGACGACTTTAAACTGGGTCAATTTAGAAGTAGGGTCATCGATAACGTCATTCGATTGCAAATTGTTAAAAACCTCAATCGCATTAGCTTTATTCCAACACATTAGAAATCCGGCGACATATGATATAAGAACCTCCTCCTCTTCTCTTTTGGATTTAGTCTTCTTACACGGTGATGACGTCGGTCAAATGACTTTTCGCCCACCATTAGGGGAAAGTGGCCGTGCAGTCATTTTATTCAAATTCATAGCTGAGATTGCCTGTCAAACAGTTGCACCGGCCCGTTTAAATGTATGAAAGACAGATATGGCGGCATTAAACTCCTCAGGATCAGCTGAAGACTGGGAAATTCACTCAAGGGCTTCAGTACTTATTTCAGGCAGTTATACAATCGGGCAACTCAACCATACATACCATGGACAGTCCCAAGGAAGGAGAAACACAGCCATCCCTGGATAGCCCGGGATATTCGGCGTTTACTGAGACAAAAGAAGAAATGTTGAAATGTTGCTATCAGCCTTGGCACAGCAGGTACGATGGAATGCAACAGATCGGTAAGAAACACGTGTATAACTAAAATTTGGGAAGCACAAAGAAAGCATGAAATGCAGTTGGCACAAGTAATATTTACGTACATAGACTACAGAGCCAGGATGCGTCATTGGATTCGCAACTTAATTAAAGAATGGAGTAAATCTGAAATGATTAAGGAAGATTAGGAAAAAGCAAAGGCTATGACTAACTATTTTGAGGCAGTTTTCACTCAGTAACCTGCTCTAGACAAAGAACCAAATCTAAATCCCGAGTCAACAAAACACCTGCCTACCAAGGACTTCGATCAAGACGATGTACTTAAGGCTCTAAGCACCTAAGACATGGAAAAGTCAACAGGAACTATACCTCAAACTCTTGAGACATATTGCACATTATATCGCGGCCCCGCTGACTGTAATATTCAACATGTCACTTGATTAAGGTGTGTTACCTATGGACTGGAAGAACGCAATCGTCACTACCATACATAAAACGGGACCAAAACAACTTCCATCTACCTAAAGACCTGTAAGCCTCACCAGCGTTGTAGTTAAAATATTGGAAAGAATAGTGAGAAAGGCCATGATGACATTTGTGGAAACCAAAAACCTGTTAAATAGTGAACAACATAGTTTTAGAAAGGGTTTACCTTGTACAACGAGCCGCCTTACAGTAAGGGAATATTGGATAAAGGCTCTAGACAACGGAAACTCAGTGGATGTTGTCTAAATAGACTTCAGTAAGGCTTTTGACAAGGTGTCAACAAATAAACTGCTATTGAAGTTAATAAATCTTGATATTGCTGAACCTCTTTTAAAATGACTTAAGGATTTCCTAGCAGGTCGTAGACAGGAAGTAAGAATAAATTCCAAGTGCTCTACCCGAAGACCAGTACTTAGTGGAGTACCACAAGGCTCCGTCCTAGGTCCTTTACTTTTTTTATTGTATGTAAATAATCTCCCAAGTATAGTACAGTCCTAATGTTATTATATGCTGACATGTAAAAATCTGGCGCAGACACATGTGCACTTCAGGCAGACTTAAATAATGTGATTAACTGGTCTAAAGAGTGGCTGATGTCTATCAAACCAGCAAAGTGTGTCTACATGCACACTGCGGATACAAAGGTTGATACGTACAGCATAGGGGAAGTGCCTGTACCAGTGGTCCGGTCTCATAAGGATCTTAGGGTGACAGTGAGTCATAATCTTAAGACGACGGGTCATTGCCGGGAGGTCGCAACTAAGGGTTTTAGAACCTCCTGTGCTTTAAGACGGACATTCACTAAGTTGGACACTACCATGTTCACTACAGTATACATGACCTTGGTGAGAACTAAGCTTGAGAACTGAGTTCAAACTGCAAGCCCTTGTTTAAAAAAAGACTCGGATATCCTGGAAAAAGTACAGAGGACAGCTTTCCGTGTGATCCCAGAACTCCGGGGTTTACCATACAAAGAGGGGCGGACAAACAGGACCTCTTTACTCTGTCCTATAGTAGATTAAAGGGAGATCTGATTTGTATGTACAGAATACCGAGAAATGATTTTGGACCTAACTTATTCTCTCTTTTTGTTCCCACTAGATCGGGACATCTCAGAGGACATTGTAGGCGAGTAGAAATTTCAAGAACGAACAAAATACCCGTAGCATACAGGTTTTCACACCGAGTCATCAATACTTAGAATCTTCTGTCTAAAGCAGTTGTGTCCTCACCTTCAAATGACTATTTCAAGAGAAAACTGGACACTCACATAAGCATACTAGAAAAGGAATAACATAGGCCATAGGTCTTCTGTCCTTACTACACAAATCTGAATTTGAATCAGGGCCTGAACCAATGACATTAAGTGCTGCTGTGTAAAAATAATAATTTTATCTTTCAACTCATAAAGAATTCTCCACTGCATTTTAATTGAGCTGTTGAACCACTCTATGTTGAATGGTGTTTAAATATACCCGTTTGTTTGTCTGCTTACCACTTAGCCGGTAGCCATTCACCATAGCCGCCATGAAACGGGATAACTCAGGAAACAACCAAGATGGTCCTCCGTCAAAATTCCAGCGTTCTTCCGTTGATTTAACAAATGTTTCCATCAGATTTCTTATTCCTGGGAGGGCTGCAGGGATAATGATTGGGAAGGGTGGGGAAAATATCAAAAAAATACGGTCACAGGTTTGTTCTTTCATAATTCATTTAGTGACTTGCTCAATCGCTGTTTTGGCACCAACTGACTCGATTCTTTGTTTTATATTCTTTACGGTTCCTCCACCTTCCGGACACTTACTCGCTGAATCTGGTCAATCTCCTCTGATAACCCAATGGTTTGGGTTGGTACCACATGCCTGCCTTATTCTCAAACTGATGACTCTGGCTCACTGAAACCGGCCCTGCTTTATCCCATTTATTGTCTCAGTATAACGTCAAGCTGAATATTCCCGACAGCAGAGGCCCTGAACGGTAGGGTAACCCAGAAACTTAATGTCACCTTGATGTCTATTCGGTCGATTAATTAGTTTGCCTAAATTGTTATTTTCATGTTTTTGGTTCATTAATGTATTTGTAAAGCCCTTTTTGGATATGATTTGCAAAGTCATTCCTGACTGCTTAACTACCAGCTAACCCACGAGTTACTGTTGTAACTGGAAATCCCAGTGACTTAGTCATTCATTCAATTCTATTGTGTAAAAACCTAGACAAGTTTTGATGATAACCCTCAGACGGTTGTCTAGTTCTCCAAGCCCTCCACGACTGTCACTATATGGAAGGGTGTCATGAGCTTCGTTATACGATTAAAGTTTTTGTTTCCTTCCTTCTTTCCCATACTAACTTGATTTTTCTCCGATAGGATAATGACTATCGAAGGTGACCTGCAGGCTATCTGCAGCATCATGCGCGATGTTTGTCCGAAACTGAAGGTAAGGTGAACTTAATAAAATTGACTTCGAAGGATATAATGAATGCCAAACTTTCCGACCCTAAACGCATAATGGGTGCCCAAGGATCTCGACGCCGCCCGAGACGAAGTGAAGATCCAGAGCGAGATGATGAGGAAGACGAAAACATGATTGACTTCAGAATATTAGTGCACGAAAGCCAAGCTGGGTCTGTAATCGGTCGAGGCGGTGAACGTATTAAGGACCTTCGTGATGTAAGTTTGTTGGCGTTTGCTAAAACATGAAATTTAGAAATACAAAATGCGTGTTATCAAGGTGTACCAGATGTTGGCTCCGTTATCTACTGACCGAGTTGTACAGATGGTTGCTGACCCAGACAATGTCGTCCAATGTTTGAGAGCTGTGATAGAAGCAGTAGAGGTAAGCACAGACGTTTAGCTCGGTCATTTTTACTCCCCAATCGGTTTCCACAACCAACTCATTGATAACCACAAACCTGAATCCATCGCGATATTCAGGTCGGCTGTCCTATGGTCGTACACGAGTCGTACTGTCACGACCCTATCGACAATCAATCGCACTGCACACCTGCAGTCAAACCTCGAAAACCAAGAGTATTGACGGACGGTGTGTTGCACTAACATCTGGGAGTGTTGTGTCGCGCCTTCGAGTGCATTGGCTGACGTTTTGTGGTATGGGTGTGGTTACTGCATCTAGTAATACCAGTTACTTTGTATTTATTGTGTTGTCTGTGTTCCTGACACAATGTTGTGTTTTGTGCTTTTCAGTCTGCTCCTCCTCGTGGCCGCCGTGAAGATTATGACGCTGCCAACTTCAGTGAAGGTGATGCTCTCAACTATGGCGGTTGGTTGTCTCGAGAAGCTGCAGCAGCACTCGCTCAAGGAATGCCTCTCCGCGGACCTGGGTGCATGCCGCCGATGGGTTATAACATGGGAGGTCCGTACATGATGGGTGCTAGTGAAATGGGGCCGATGGGTGGCGGTATGGGCCCTATGGGAGGAGGAATGGGACCAGGTGGAGGGATGGGTCCTATGGGTGGCGGACCGATCCCTGGAGGTCGCGGTAGAGGACCTCGCTCCGGCGGCGGAATGATGAGTGGAAGCGCGCCCCTCGCTCAAGGCCAACGAGGAATGATGGGCTCTTCAGGCCCTGCACCCGTTCCCCCTCCTGCCGGTCGTAACAGCTCGATGGGTCCTCCAGGTGGTTATAGTAGTTCCACAGACGGAGGCTACGGTGGTCAAGGCGGATATGACGGGTCAGGAGGATTCGACAACGGAGTATACGGAGGCATTGACCAGACTGGACAGGGAGGATTCAGTGGCCCTGGATACGGTGGGTCGGGCAACATGGCTTCCGGAGGTTACGGTGGATCTGGGTATGGTGGGAGCCAGCGTGGATCGGGTGACATGGCAGGTGGTCAAAGGTAAGTCATTTCATGTTATACTACGTAACGCGACACAAAACGATCAGAACTTGTGAAAGTTTAAGCAGTTTATAAGAACTAGGATCCAGCTGTGTACTTCAGGGTTGACTACGTAATAAAAACTCACCCCGAGCTATTGTTCAACTTAGTTCAGAAATTATACACGTGTTAAAAGCTGGGAGACCATCGTTGTTTTTGGGGCCTCGGTCAGATGCTCCAGTGTTGAATCAGCCGAGCTGTAACAATCCACTTAGTTGCTAAGAGTAGCCACCCTAGTTTGTAGAGAGTGTGCTTCACATTAATTTCTACAGAACGGGGTTGCCTATATCGAAGTGCACCCACTGGAGATGCTAGCTGTGAATGGCCTTCCAAGAGATGTAGGGATTCGTCGTGAGCGGAGAGGCTACTCGTAGTAAGTCTGAAGTTCAATCTTCGACTCACCCACGTCGGTTCGGGCAACCGAATGGTGCCAATAGTCCTAACAAAAATGGTGTGGCTCAAAGCCCGCCACATGGTCTTGTATTACTAGTGTGTGTCGGACTGAAGCAGAGAAAGCGGTGCTTGCCGTAACCTGGCTACTGCACAGTTGGATTAATGTTTACTCCCTCGTCCCGAGATCACTTGATCTCTTCCTAACATATCATGTTTGTTTTCCTTGTAGCGCTTCCCGCGGCGGCACCTATGGTGGGTATGGAAGTATGGGATCTGGCGAGCATGTTGGAGGCAAAGCCAACCAGTGGTATGGCGGATGGTCTTAAACACTTACTTGCATTTAATTTCAGTAAAATATACCTGTTAATAAATAACAATCACCTGTTGGTTCTTGATAACGTGTAGACAAGCTTGAGTCCTTGGTTTGTGTGTTCATTGCGTCAGCTAAGCATGGTTTGCAGTTAAATGAGAGTGTCATTTTGCAGGTGTGTTTGACTTGAAGTCCATGTGGATGTTAATCTGATTAGTCATCGAGAAGATGATATCCCATTTGGTGCTAGCTTGTGCAATGTGCTCATGAATATACGGTGATGGGTCACCAGCACGAAAGTAGAGTGGTCGAAGGGCTTCGTACGGTCAATTCCTTCTACATAGAAGCGGAGTGGTCCGGTTGTTTCGGCTAAATTCCGTTGCAACCGGCGGGTGGGGTTTATGGTGCGATAGGACATGGTACACAGAACAGGTACTCGTTGGGAAGAGATGGTCTAGATGAGTCGTAACGGGGACCACTTGAATAGGGTTCCGGTGCCGGTCGTTGTTTCTAAGAAGGAAGGGGGTCGGCGGTCCAGTCTCGACCTCGCCCTGTCCAGTGTTCTATTATGGGCAAGTAGGTGGTCCGGCGCGCCTCTTGTAAGTAGTGTCAGAGCGGAGGATGGCTCCCTGTTGATGTCGCGAGGGTCTTAGTCTGTCGCATCTTGTATAAACCAGGGGAGAATGGAGTTCGAGTCGTGGTTTGAGTGTGCTATTTGTGCGAATAATGGAGGGGTCAAGCCCCCGGCAGGATATGGAGTAACCAGTGTATTTTAGGATCGGTTGGCTCATTCGATTGTTGCACTTCGTGACTGTGAACTTGAGGTTGAGATGCCGCTTGAATACAAGCCCCTAATGTGCTGCTGTTCGTTGTTGAGTTCAGAATTCCATCGTCAAAATTGAAACAACATGTATGAATCACCTGAAAACTGTGTGTTTTATACCTTAATCTGTACAGTGCTGGGAATACCATGTTTTTATAAAAGGATTTAGGGTTTCCTAATTGTATTGTCTTCAACAAGCACGTATAGTGGTCTTATAAAGTTCGATGTATATGAGTATTACTGCTGTCAGTGTGCTACTTGACCGATATGTTCTGATAGCTAACACAAAAAGGAAAGAGTTCGTTTACTTAGTGAGACTGCTCGGAATATGTATTTCATTTTTCCTATCTGGACCGGTTTTATAGTGAAATGGATTTAATTCCACTAGTATTAAAAGTGCATTCATACAAGTTGAAAGAATTATAGGGCCATGAAGTGTATAAATGAAGAGATTGTAGAATTATGGTCTACTATGATATTAGCACTGCTCTAATAATAGACCTAATCCTAAAATTGTAGATTTATCATGATATAACTGCCTAATCTATAAGATCTTACGTGGAAATTACATCATCGTCTACACCGATTCATTGCATTGTAACAATTACCAATACGTGATAGAGAACAAGCTTAGGCTAGAGATAGAATATATTTAATATGAATAGAAGATACAAGATAACATTCAGCTGGGAACACGCCTGCAAGGCCGAGCCATGCCATCCGATCAACTCGGACCAATTCAAATTATTGTCCCCGCCTTCTCCATTCTTCTGTATTTCTCCGCGTTAAATGTTTAATGTCTATTTCTCATATTGTCTCGTGGTAGGGCCCAATGCCACTACAAGATCTCCGAATCTTTAAGTCACTGAGACGAATAGAAGCAGTTTATGTTAAAAATCGTGCTTATTCTAACCTTATGTGTGTTGGGTTTGCTTTCGTGTATTTGTCCTATCAAAGCACGCTTGGTCGACTTTCACTTGATTTTTTGAGGCCAAGTTTTGAAATGTTTCTCGAATCCATTTTTGGTCGATCTTTAACATAGTCGGCTCTGCTCCCAAATGTGGAAAGCCATACTGTTTATTCCGTGTGGAGGAAGGAATGAAATGTGATGAGTGTAAGAAGTGACTCCATTGGATGTGTGCTGACTTAAACCCCTCTGCGTATGAAAAGTGCTCAATAAATCATTCATCCAAGAGGCAACTAACTTTCTGGCGTTGGCTAACAAAAAGGTTGATGAGGGCTGTATCGGTAACTTGGGTGCTGATAATGAAGAATGTGTCGGTGTTGTGAGTGCTTAATTGGCAAACCTACAGTTTTAAGACCAGTGTTAGATCACTTTTATTTGCCTCGTCAAATATGTAGGAATTTTTTATTATTTCGTAATGAGCGTCACTTGTTTAGGTAGAATGTTGATTAGTTGACAGTGAAACTGTAATAGTTGTCCACTTTCATAAGATTTATTCAGTGGGTGTGTTAAATTCGTGATACACTTCAAATGGTTCTCTTTCTACTGCATTTTTCTTCACTCCAGGCAAATAAAACTCAAAATATTTAAGAAGCACTAAACGTGATTGTGAATTAAATAAAATTTAGGCAATAATCATGGATAACTGATATGTTTAAATCTTGAATATTGTCAGATGTTGGTCAGTTTTCTAAATGGTTATTGGAAATTAGCAACAGCTTAATCGTTTCTCTTCGCAGTTCGACAACTACACTGCATACGATTAGTACTTCGAACATATCACTTGTTGAATTCTTTAGTCTCATACCTACCTTTATGATAAACATAATCGTGAAATTGAAAAGTGAGCACTAACGTTGATTACTAGTCTCCTGTTGAAAAAGAGTATATCGTCTATTTGTATGAATATTATTATTGTGATTCTGGATTGTCTTAACCTATATACTTGGCATAATAATATCGTTTAGCTGATCTCAGTGTGATCTAGGATTTCCTAGTATGATGAGTTGGTAGCTATATGGGTGATGTTTAGAAAGTTATGGACAAACTCCATATCTTCGTTAGTCATCACTCATTATTATTAACTATGATTACAGCCCGAATCAGTTGTTTGACAACCTCCCATTATCAAATGTATTTTCGTTTTGTGATCTCATTCGGTGAAATATGTCACCATATTTTCCAGTTAATTAAAAGTAAGTCAGCCAGTCGTATGCACATAGAACTTGGTAATTATATATGCATTGGTTCAAGTTAACACACTACAGTACAATAGGGAGATGAAATTACCAAGACAATCACAGAGTAGCAAAAGAATCAGTAGTCGTAGAAATGATTAGGTATAAAAGGAAGGAAAAAGGATATATCATGTTTCCATATAAAATGTGGATGGAGTATAGCATGGCACCAGTAAGTCTATATTTATTCTAGAATCGATAAGAGGGTGAGCATGTGATCAGTATATCCTTGAGCAGTAGTGAAACATACCTAATCCTCTGTATGATAGTGTCTTAGAGCTTAAAAATTAAAATTAACAGGATTTATTTTCCTATCAGTTTCAGTTTGGAAATGACAGGAGGCTTGATGGCCTGTGTTAGTCCTGGCAATTGTGTTCTCTCAGTTGATCCAACTTTCTTTTGAAAGAATCTACGGATGGAGCTTCAACCACGTGTTGAGGTAATGAATTCCACTCGTTGATGATTCGGTGGGAAAGTCGATAATCAGCTGACAAGTAATTTGTCCTGGGCTTGTGAACTTTTTTGGAGTGTCCTCGTAAATTCTCTGTTTTGGAAGACAGGAAAAATGAGGGCATATCAGGTGCAAATTTATCACTAAGCAATTTGAAAACTGTAATCAAGTCGCCTCTAGTTCTACGATATGACGAAGGGAATAGGTTTAGCTTAGCCAGTCGAGCATCATACGGAAGCTTCGCTATTCCGGGAATCAGCTTAGTTGCTGTTCTCTAGACCTTTTCCAAAAGCTCACTGTCTTTTTTTAATCAGGGACTAGCCGCTTGTATGCAGTACTCAAGTTTAGGACGTACGAACACTATACAAAGTCAAATACGTTTGAGCGTCGACATGAGTAAAAGCCCTACGTATTGACCATAAAGTTCTAAAAGCTTTGGCGGCTATTGCACGGCAGTGTGCAGTAGTCTTCAGATCTCGGCTAACGATGACTCCTAAGTCATTATGTGTCTGGACAACAGGTAGCTCAGTGTTATTCATCGTGTATGTATCTGAACCTTGATGACCGATATGCATCACAACACACTTGGAAGTATTTATCGGCAGCTGCCATGTATGAGACCATTCGGATAATTTCTTCAGGTCATTTTGGAGTTCTAAGCTATCACCCTTACATCGTATCGTTCTCCATATCTTGACATCGTCAGCATATAGCAAGACCGATGATGATAGTAAGCGAGGAAGGTCATTTACATACAAGAGGAATAGCACTGGCCCCAAAACTGTACCCTGGGGCACTCCACTAAGCACAGTTTCCCAGCTAGATAATTTTGAGTTTACCCGTACTCTTTGTTGGCGCCCAACAAGGAAGTCTTCTATCCACGTCAATAGATTGCCCCCAATTCCGACATTTTTTAGCTTATATAACAGCCGGTTGTGCGGAACCTTGTCAAAAGCTTTGCTGAAATCAATGTAAGCCACGTCTACAGGTAACTTTTGGTCCTTAAAAGCGCACCAGCTTTCTCGAGTGACTAATAAGTTAGTGAGACAAGAATAACCTATTCTGAAACCGTGCTGTTTCTCCGAGAGGATTCGGTTTACATCGAGGTATTTAAATAGCTCTTTCCGAATAATCTTTTCTAAGATTTTAACAACCACACTAGTTAGGCTAACGGGTCGGTAATTCTCAGGTTTATGTTTCGTACCTGTTTTGAAGACAGGACTTACTATGGCGTTCTTCCAGTCTTTTGGTAAACTACCCTGTGTAACGGATAGCTTAAATCATATACTTAAAGGGTTCGCAACGAAGTTAGATAATTCCTTTAGTAGCCTAGGATGCAATTCATCGGGCCCCATGGATCTACCTATGTCAAGCTTATTTAGCAGATCAAAGACATCGAGTTCATTTATGGTCACGCTATCCAGTGTATATGTGTGGGGGGGTTTGTATGCGCTGACGGGAAGGGTGCTTCTATGGTATATACATTGCTAAAGTAGTTTGAGAACACTTCAGCCTTACCAAAGTCATCTTCCACTAATGATGCGGCAGTACTGTCTCCCCATAGTGCAGGAATAATTCCTCTTCTTTTTGTCCTTTGGTTTATATAGGAATACAGGCGTTTAGGACATTCTATGGATTCCTTAACAATTTTTTCTTCGTACAGCTTTCTAGACTTACGGAGGGTCGAGGCACAGGTATTCCTAGCTTTTCGGTACTGAGATTTTGTCTCATCAGTCCCCAGTAACCTAAATCTATCTCACATTTTTCTTCTCTTACGGAGAAGGATGCGGACCTCCCTATTGAACCATGATGGGGAGTTTCTCGGCCCCCTTGGTATAGTCCAAGGAATGTGGGGTGCGGTAACTTTTAAGTATAAATTTTGGAATGCATCCCAAGCCGTTTCAATTGAGGACTCTGGGTCTATTGTCCAATCTACTAATGATGCCGAGTGCATGATATCTGGTATGCTTGCTTTCCAGACGTTAGGTCTGGATTGAGTTGACGCTTGCTCGTGATTGACAGTTATATGGAAGTCAAAAGTTAAAACTGCATGATCACTTTTGCCTAGGGGTGGCATGTAAAGGAGGTTCGCAACGTCATCCTCATAGTGAGTTAATATAAGATCTAGTAAGGATGATTCAGTGTCTGGGTCGTACCTAGTCGCTTCTTTCACATGTTGCACTAGGGCACATGTTATAACCGCATCAACTAGTTCCTGCTCGAAGGAATTATCTGATGATTCGGTTCGCAGATTTCCCCAGTCTACCATAGGTGCATTAAAGTCCCCTAGGATTAGACATCGACCACTTCGCGACCAATTTTTGAGCCCGTTTAACAGGACATCATTTACCTCACAGCTTGGACTGCGATAGACCAAACCAATTAGCAGCTCTTGCCCCTTGAATTTCAAGCGGCAACTAACCAATTCACACGTCCCACTATCTTGGGATACACTATCAATAATGACAAACGGGATAGCATTCCTAATGAATAGAGCTACTCCCCCTCCTGTACGCTTATGTATTCTGTCGGTCCTTACTAAAGTAAAACCCTCAAAATCGAGTTCCATATTATCTATAGACTGTGTCAACCAGGTTTCTGTGACTGCGATTATGTCTGGGTTTGTCGAGTCAATCTGTTCACCTAGTTCCGATAGCTTATTGAGCAAGCTTCGGGCATTAGTGTAACAGATCCGTAGCCTATTTAAGCGGCTTCGTGTTTCACCCAGAGTGGCTTCGCCATCATTCTCTGACGAAGCCTCACAACCCGAAAATTTACAATTTTCAGGTCCTTTTCGCCAGCGTCTAACCTCATTTGTAGTTCTTTTTCGGCTTCCCGTCTTTTTATACGGTCTGCCAACGGCAAGTCCTTTCGGATAAAAACTCCCGAACCCTTTAATGTATGTCCATTCTGCAAAATTATGTCCCTTTCATTCGAAGATTTGAAAACTACTTTAAGCAGTCTAGATTGATTAGGCTTCAAGTTCGCTAAACTACCTAGTCTATACACCTTTAGCAAGGTGACTCCGGAGATATTTTGAGGCATGAGTTGATTAAGTAGCTGTTTTATCAGGACAATTTCATGCTCAAAACGAGTTTTTGGTTCGGAGCTTTCGCTCTCCTTGATCCTATGAAAAATGACTGTGTTACTGTGATCAGCCTTCGATTTTTCGACTTTTTTTGTGGGGGCAGGGTTCCCTTTTATATCGTTCTTCTGTTTCTTCCTCACAACCTGTACCCATTCGTCAACGTTGCTTGGAGAAGCAACCACAGTCGCGTCAAATATACTGTGGTATTCCGGAGGGTTTTCGATGACTTGGGAGGTCAGGTTTGGTGTCCCTTTAGAAACTGATCTAGCCTTGCGGTTGCGGCTTCTATGAGTTTCTTTCTGGATACCATTCTGAGGACGTGGGACAGAAGGAACTTTTTTCCTTGAGTTTTTTGTGCGGACAGAACTCTTTGGGGACTGTTCTCCCTCCTTTGGTCGGTGCGAGTCATCTGTTTTCGAACTCACTTTAGTTTGCCTCAAGCCAATTTGCGTGTCAACGGAGCGAGTACTTGATGATGTGTCGCGACCACTCTTGCCAAAACATTTTTTAGCAGCACTAACCAATGAGATGGCCTCGGTTAGCAAGCTGTTAGCATCCGAACAGCACTGTTGACAGAGTCATACGCAACCATTCCTACTGAACCGTTTGAAAGCTGCAGGCGTTAAATTTGTGCAAACTTCGTGGTACCATCCTTTGCACTCATCGCGCTGCATGCCGCTTTCAACAGGATAACGGCAGCCCAGGCGTTGGCAATTACTTTTTTTGCACTGTCCAGTCATTTAAACACGGGTTTTTTTTAGAAAGAACTAGATGTAAAAATACTCAGGGACAAAAATAATCTATGACCAAAAAAAGTGGAAAACTGTGGATTGTTAGAACCAAAAGTACTAACAGATACTATAAAAAAAACAGAGTACTCAAAAGTACTGACAATAAAACTACTTTAGAAACAAAAACGATAATCTAATCAAATACTTTAACTGAAAGAAACTCAACTAAAGTGAAAAACAGTAGTTTTGATACGTATAAACGATCAAAACAATAGAATTTACTCAGCGAGGAAAAATACCACTGTTCTTTTTGAATAGCGATGTTATCATCCTTTATTTATAAGCTTAGACTGGTCTAAAGAGGCTATAAGTGTCATGTGGCATGTATATTTGTCTCTCTTATCAATAAATTTAGGCTATTGTATCTAAAAGGGGCTTGTTGAGCCAGTCTAATGACTAATTAATACAGTTCCAAAATCATCTGAATCCGTCAAATGTTATGGTGGAAAGTCTTATCAGTTGATGAAGTTCTTACTTTAAAATGCTGATCTGCTTATGTAATCATGTGCTAACTACTCACATGACAGAAATATTGACTTGACCACAAATGAACTGAGATAAAAAAAAAACAACAAGAACTCTAGGTGTAAAAATAGTTTCCCTTTCTCTTTAAATTACCTACTTACATATAAATTATTAGCAGAAAAATAGACACAATTTGGTATCATAAGCGAATAAAGGAAATTAGTTTTGTTAGCCCTTTACTTTTTAATCGATTAAATTCTGACTGACCCAATTCTTATCCATTAGATCATTGAACATTAAAACGTGCTGATCACAAAGGTATGTGTATTTAATTTTATTTATAAAATACTCAACTTTATTTACAAGTTATGGTAGTGATATTAATAATCATTATTGACTAATCGGCCTATATCCACAGAAGAATTGTTGATTGTTTTGTCTGAACAAGCTATGAAATCCAATGGCTAAATAGGGTTTAATTTTTTTTTTTTTTACCTACATACCTGAATGCTATCTGGTCATTGTGTAAATAACAGATAGATACAATTATTGTAAATATAAATTGGATTGATTGTATTAGGTCAGTACATTTAACTGAAAGAATGGGTTCACAAATATAGATTAGTGAACAAATAATAAATTACGTTGTTTTTTGTATTAAACATCAGATCAATAACAGTGAAGATATTAGAAAAATGTTTAAAATCAACTAGTATTCAACAAGTACCTTTATTAACAGATCTTCTATAGGTTAAGATTCAGTGGACGACCAAATTAATGATAAACGGACTGCATTCCATGAGGATAGATCGTCCACAGACCAAATTATGACACTATAGATCATCGTTGAACAACCAACTGAATGTAATTCGTCACTATACACCAACTTTCTTGGTTATGAGTAAGAATTTAACAGCGTAGACAGGAGAACCTTATGGTGTATCTGAGAGGATCGTCAACATCATCCAGAATTCATACGACATACTATACTGCAGATTTGTACATGAAGGCAGCCCACAGATGCGTTCCAAGAGAGGACCGGTGTCAGACAAGGTTTCTTGTTTTCGCCGTCTCTATTTATTCTGGTGGTTAACTGGATTATGAAGAACTTCACACCTCAGGGGAAGCGCGGAATACAATGGACGGCTTGAATGCAACTAGACGACTTTGAATTTGTTGATGACCTGGCTTTTCTATCCCATACACACCAACAAATGCAGGCAGAGGCAGCCAGTGCAGCAACGGCTTCTGAATCAGTGGGCCTCAACATACACAAGGGAAGAAGCAAGATTCTGAAATAAAACACAAAGAGCATCAACCCAAAATCACTTGCCCGGGAAGCTCTGGAAGAGGTGGAAACTTTCACTTACCTGAACAACATCATCGACGAACAAGGAGGGTCTGATGCATATGTAAAGGCAAGGAGTGGCAAAACAAGAGCAGCATTCCTACAGTTGAAGAACATAGGGAACTCAGAACAACTGTCAGACAACATCCAAGTCACAATCTTCAATACGAATGTTGAGACAGTTCTACTGCACGGATCTACAACTTGCAGAACTAATACAACAATAATCGAAAGTACACAAGTATTTATAGTCAGTTGTCTACACAAGATACTCCAGATCTGTCTGCCGGATATCATCAGAGCAGCCTACTATGGGAGAGAACAAACCAGCTTCCAGTCGAATAACAAATTGGGAAAAGACGCTGGAGGTAGGTAAGACATTTGTGAAAATCATCAAAAAGCGGCATGAAGCAAGCGATAACTTGGAATCGTGAGTAGAAAAATAAATGGTGAAGATCAAGGAACACATTGCGTCGGGAATTGGAAGCAGACATAAAAAAGATGAATAGCAACTGGAAACAACTGAAAAGGTTTGTCCAGGACGAAGTTCTATGGGGTATCTTAGTTGGCGGCCAATGCTCCACGAGGGTAACAGACATAAGTAAGTAATAAATCTTCGTTTATCCCAGTCCTTGTATCTTTACTTCGTATTGTAAGATGTACAGTGGTTCCTCTTTCTAAGTATGAACAGTGGGACCGCGTATGGAACAGAGTTGAAAAGTACAAAATACAGGCGATGCCAGATATAACACTTCTGTTAGGATGTCATCAGCCCTGATGCATGGAAAAATTTCTGTTATAATTAAATAACGATAGTTATTCAATTTTCTTCTACCGAACATCCCATCCTATTTTTAATCCCACTTCAAATGCGTCCGAGTCATTTTCGAGTATCTTGCACAAACTATGTTTTGTTAGAAAGCAGTAATTACACCAAAAATCAATTAGTTAAATTAAGTCGACTTTTTCAAAATACAAATAACATAATAAATAGCCAACGGTGCACATGGGCTTCAGTATCCTGAAGGAACAAATGGCGTATGATACAATCGTTGGTCACCGGCTACCATGGGGCTGCATCTCCTTACGATGCTCCACTGCCTTGTGGATCAGACGTTCAGGTCGAAGGCTCGGGGTGTGGCCCCTTAAGAAAACCACCTGCTTCGGATCGGGCACCCGGACAGTATCACAGCCATGACACATATCAAATGAGATCTGTGTGGCGGATATATATTTGGTGCCTCCTTGTACCAATATCTATGTGTTAAAATAAATAAATAATAAATAGCCTGTAAGAGATTTAATGATAACTGAATTACAAATTTAAAGTTCTAAATTTAATCTCTGAACCATTGCAACAGACAGTCAATGAAGTGACTTATCCGAGTAATAGATAAACTATAGTGTTACACCCTTCTTTTTTATCATCTTCAAGAAAGCAAGAATAAACGTTACCTGTCTTCAACCTGTCTTAACAAAAGTCAAATCTATTATCACTGTAGAGTTTTTTTGGAGTCCCTCTCCTTCTTATGAAACAAAAAAGTCATTATGTAAGCGTTAGTGTTCATATTGAAAGCTACTTGTAAGGATATGATGCATGTTTCAAGATACATCAACTTACATCCACATACTTTTTCCACACTTATTCTTAATCTGACCATTTGTGGTTAGAAATAGGTAATTTCCACAGATGATAATAACAACCTGGAAGCACTGGACGACCGTTTCGTCCTATTGTGGGACCCTCCAGTAGTGCACATCCACGAACCCGCATGCGGGATTTAAACCCACGGCCTTCAGTTTCGCGCATGAACGCTTAACCTCTAGATCACTGAGTCGGCATTCAACGGTGTTAATTTCTAACCTCAACCAATCCACAAAATCGCTCGACCATCTTCCATTGTACTGAGGACAATCAGATTGAAGGTCTTGGGTTCGAATCCAGAGAGCGGGATTGTAGATACGCACTGCTGAGGAGTCCCACAACATGAAATAACGGCCATCTACTATTTCTAGGTTTTCAATGGTGGTCAATCAGTTCATGATCTCAATCAAAAATGTAATAATCTCCACAACCTTATACAATTGAAATATTTTCTATTTTTTTTTCACAATATATTACTATAATATAACCTGTTACCAAGATTCTATTACCATTAGATTAAATATACAATCAATATTCTATGCAAAAATTGAATCACTTTATGACAGGTATACAATACATAACAAAAAAAAAATAATAAAGAATTATTATTTAGGTTAACCAATATCTTAATCAATACAATGAAATATAGTCTAATTTAAAGAGTTCAAAGAAGTAACCAATGCTAATAAAGAAATCATATATTGATTAAATAGTTGAATATTTATCAGTCTATGAGTAACTTAGCAACCAATTAAATCTTAATTGCCTTAGTTACATATAAATAATATCATTAAAAGAAGAATAAAAAAAAAATAGAATAGAACATATTTATATACATAAGAAATTGTTGTAATCACATGTCAACTACATAGTTTAGGATAAATGTAAATAGATTTAGGTGAGTAAATAAAAATACAAAAAATTTTTTTACAAAGATTATATGAATAGTCATAGTAACAAAATACCAAAGTAGCTAGAAATAAGTGATTATATAATACATGAATAAACACTAATGATATATGTGAATGAAGTGAATGAAAGTCAGTTAGAAATAAAATGAAAAAGACTGTGATCAGTGGAGCTAATCCGTGTTGGGTAGAGACAGGTATCTACCTTAGTACAATGGAGGTTGGTCGCACAATTTCATGGATTGGTTGAGGTTAGACATTAACACTGTTGGATGCCGGATGGCTCAGTGGTCTAGTAGGTTAAGAGTTCGTACGCAAGACTGACAACCTTGGGTTCGAATCCTGTGAGGCGGTGTCGTGGATGCGCACTGCTGAGAATTCTCACAATAGGATGAAATGGTCATCCAGTGATTCCAGGTTTTCAATGGTGATCTAACATCAATCAGTTCATGATCTCAATAAAAAAACGAAATAATCTCCACAACCCTATACTGAGAAGTAAAATTTTTGATTCAAATGAAACATGTTTAACAAAGATGAATTTGTGTTACTAAGTGTTACCTGTAAGTGTATCTTATTCCATAAGTGGGATTATAGGAACTTTAAATGTTTAGCCATTATTATTAGTGAATTCCCTAAGTAATACCACCTACCTGTTGTCACTGTACGTTAACACTGTCCCTAGCAACCTTAACTAATTTGAATAATATCTAACATGAACAGTATATCACTGTGTCACATGACACATGCATTATGGTAGATCTGATTGACATATTTTGATAATTATTACTTTGTTGTTCCGTACTCTCTGTTTTCATTTTATTTTCTTTAGTTGTAGATAATTATCATTAATTCGTTATAGTACAGGAAATGACCTTAAATACACCGTTCATAAACCAACAGGCTGTCCATTTGAGAAAAATTAAAAGTTCCCGGTTGATGCATTGGATCGCTGTAATATATGTACTACCTAAACAATTACTGAACTAGTATACTTTAAAACTATTTTATATCACATGTTTGTTCTCTACATCTAATGTTACTTTTTATATCAAATTGATCATGTCTGTAAACTGGCATGAGTTCTGTAATTATATATATAATATTAGATATCAAAAAGTGTTTCATTTACAGTTACAGCTATCCCCCCAAACAGAATGAGGGTATCCCATGATTATTTAGGTCGAGTCAGTGCTACTGGACACTAAGGAGAATATATCTATTGCGATTATGATATCAGTAGTATGGAGGGTCGACTTGACGTGCACTATGTAGTGCAGATGTATTGTTATTGCTATACACTACACTTTCCTATCACTTTTGAAAGCTTTTATTTAAACCAAAAGCGTTGATGAGCTATTATTGATTTCACCAGTGAAGATACATGGAACTTTCGCAAAGTATGTTTCATATATATATATATTCAAATGCAGGTATCAGAGATACATTCCAGTGAATATACATATTGACATAGATCGGCGCGGTTGCAAGTATGCGTTTTATGCAATTATAGAAAGCGTAAACAAGTTCATTCAACATTTGTACTTTAATTAATTCAGTAGTATGTGTCGTATATCTGTTGTTTTTCATTTTTGGTAATGGATGGTTGATAATTCGTGATCTGAAATACCCATTTTCAAATAAATTTTAGTGGAGTTTTCGAACCCAAACTCCCCCTCGTCTTATCCTGTTTACTACGTTTTTTTTTTCAAATAAAAAAAACAGTCAGTTATTTGAACAGTCATTTGAGATAGTCAGTTTTGAGAGATTAATGGTGATAAGATCAGTTTTGAGTGTATGAAACATTATTATGAGTTTGTATAAAACTATGTTCAAATCACTGAAAGAATTCAGAAAAGTGAATTATGTTTCACGGATGTGACGACAACTACTTAAAAAATACACAAATTTCATTTATTTGATGAAACACTTGACTGATTAGTGTTGGCGAATTGTGCCTACTCAATTCATTTCTGATCGTTAAGACGTGGTAGTGATAAATCAACATGACATCTTATATCTTCTTGTTTCATTTCAGGACCTCAAGTCATTTGGTAACAATTAAGAGTTCATAAAGTCAATACTATGAAAGTAATTTAACTGACCTATTCAAGTATCGGTTTAATACTGCATCAAATGTCATTCAACTCAGTATAGACTGAATCCCTCAAGTAATCAGCTGGTGAGTACGAGTCATATATACTGACTTTTGTGAAGTTTTCAAACGCCATATTTTTTCTTATCACTGGTTATATTAAACATTGGGGTAAATTATCTCATATCGTTAATCAATTTGTCTACAAACCATTTTTTTCGAATGTATTGTTGTAGATGAGTATGTATTCCCATGAATACATGTTATCAGTAACTTAACTTTGACTGAGATATGATAACTCGTTGGTGTAGTTGAATTTCTATGTTTGTTGTCAAGTTATCGTAGAACTTATGATTACAGTTGACTTATTACGAGAATCAATAAACAAGAACATGAAAAATACTATTATATTTCATCATATATACTTCACAAATTGTCATCAATATAACGTTAGGTAACGAGTAGCAACCACGATACCATTGGATAGTTATTTCGTGACAAAATGGTACATCTAAGTGTCACCCTACATCAACTAAACCAGTAAGAACTAAACTCTGAACTTGCAGGTTGTCTAAAGAACATTTCACTTTTCAACCTATTTGTACGTGTAATAACTTATTTTAATATTTTCGCTTCACATCAATTGGACAGTAGACTGAACATCCATTCACTGTTTAATTGTTACAAAGTTCCATCAGTGTTGTAATAGATGCAACCGAGTCGACTTAAGTTTTCAAGAGGTTCACTCATTTGAGAAAACTGATGATTGTCTCTAATGTTTCAGTCGATAAATTACCAACTTAACTAGATAGATCTTAAGACGTTGATTATTTGATCAACTGTCATATATGCAGAAAACATCCATTTTAAATAGCAGACACTTTTAAGGATGCTAAAGTATTGAAACCAACAAGTTCGTTTAGTTGTAGTAACATTTTGTTTTCTATCACGAGCATCTCATTATTGTGACCTTGTTTTCAGTTTCTATTGTGTCTGACACTTGCAGCTAGTGTTTGGACTTATGCCATTATTGTTGCACAACTGAAAAAAACTTGCTGTAATCTTTAAATTAACGGAATATTGTTTCACTAGTTCAAATTATCATTTGTTGGTAGTTCTTGTCACTATATTTTACCATCGATAAGCACGTGGATGCTTCAAATATGACAGCCTAAAAGAAATACTACTTTCAATGTTAAACAATGATACAAGTTATTTGATCGATGCACTACCTTTTGATAGTTGTTTAGGTCTTTCCATTCAAAATAACAGTCGAATAATAGGTACACAGTGGTAAAGTAATCGTTTACAATGGACAGTAGCGTGAAAATTTAGACAGAGAAGTAGGAAGATGAATTCCGAATCAGTATTTAGACTAATCCTAAATTAAATTCTTGCTCTATTTACTGGTTAGCGTTCTGACTGACTTATGATTATATTTACGAGGAGTTGATACTTTCAAGATGTGTTATGCAGATGCATTTCACTGATATTCATGAGTGTTAAAGAACCATAATGACGGAATTTGATTACATAAGCGTCCTTAAACATAAAACACAGTCTGATTCACTGTTCGATACCTTAGTTTGGCCCTGGTTAAATAACACCATAATTGTAGAATGGTGGATGTAGTGTTCGATGACCTAGTTGTTAAAGACAATTGTTCACTCAATTACTCCTTGTTCCTGTATATTTATTAGTGCGTTATTATTGAGTTCCGAAAAGGAATAAACTACAGTATCATGTTTTTATTGAATATAATTTAACGAAAGTCTTATACAGTTTGACAGAATTACACACACACACACACACAGGCACACAGGCACACGCAGAGAGAGGTCACACAGACAAATACACGTCACAATTGTTGTTATAACTTCTTCATTACAAAGAACAAAACTATGCTGACCACGAAAATGATCAAAATCAATGTGGATATGAGGAGATCTGAGAAAGAAAATATCAATAACAAAGAATTCAAATTTATTTATCGATTTGAGAATGAATTAACGATTAGTTAGAAGTTTGCATGAGAACGTGAGATGATTCGTGATCTACATTTACACAAATAGAACTACATCTGAATTGACATAAATGATCAAATGTCAGTCAAATGAACGTCGTCTATATGATTGTGTTGAACAAGTGTACACATTCTGAATAGGATTTGAACTATGCGACTTGACTTTATTAAACGAGATATCTGTGAAAATACTGATATGTAGAGAGTAGCATTCAATGTGTACGAATACGTTCGGATAGTTTGGATGTATGAGAAAATATACAACTGATTGTGATGCACATGAATACAGAACTAACAGTGAAGACTTTACTTACATGAAGTACTGACATTTTCTAGAAATGATGATGCTATTATATTGGATGCTGTAAATAAGAGATCAACACAAGTGTAATGTGATGGATTCATTTCAATAATCTCATAAGAGGAGATAATACAATTCATGACACTCAACAGAAAACATCATCTTGTGTTAGTCATTGGAGAGTGAATAGTTTCTATTGAGACATGTTTTGAATTGAAACATCGAATTATGGTGTATGCTAGTGATGTCGATAGATATAAGTAGTATGTCTCATTGATGGGAAGTGAAATGGCTGGCATCAGGAGATTAGGAAGATCGTAGAATAGAGAGTGAGAGCAAATAATGATTGATGTAGAAGTGGAGGAACAATGAAGTCTGAGACCATTGACTGATATTTTCGAACCGAACAGTCAATTTTGAGACAATTGATTGACATTTCGCAAATGAAGTATTTACTGTATGGTTCTCAGATTTTGCAGATGTAAAGATGAGGATTGGCAAGGTAAGAGCAGCACATCTTCAACTGAAGTACATCTGGAGCTCAGAACAACTGTCAACCAACACTAAAGTGAGCAATTTCAGTACAGATGTCAAGACAGTTTTACAGTGTGAGGCCGAAACTTGAAGAATATCGAATGCCATCATCCAGAAAATACACGTATCTATTAACATTCGCCTACACATAATATTTCAGATCTGTTGGCCAGACACCATTAGCAACAGTCAACTGTGGGAGAGTACAAACCAGAATCCAACACTACGAAACATACACGAGTCATAAATGAAACGTTTTTGTGTTCAATACGATCAGATGACTGGTGTGTCCACGGAAACCGTGGAATACAATTATGCGCAATCTTCTCATTTCCACTGTACACAGTACAGGTTTCCAATGAAGTGAGTTGAATTTTATGGTTTAGCATTTAATCATTATATACTGAGATGAGAGTGACTCTCTAGTGTTTATCCCTTCAACAGTTAGTCACGTGTATTATGTCTCAATATTTCATAACTGTTCAACCAGCATGGTAATTATTAACCTCCGAGCATCTCCACTTTCAGAAATACTTCGAAACTTCTCATAATCTAGTGAGATTTACATGGGGAATAATAGATTAATCGTATATGTAATTATCTCACGTGTTGTTTTGTTTGTTGATTGTTCTTTGTTCACTTTCCACACCGGATTTTTATCTGGTAAATGCAAACAATGAATACACATGACTGTGTTGGTGATTCGTTCAAGTAACTAAATCAATAATGAGAATGTCATGAAAAGATTAGAATGACAGCAACTGTGATCTATTACATACTGAAAATGTT